AATATTATCTTTTCGTACCAAGGGTCACGGAAAGACACTCTCGTCTTATTTGAACTTTTATTGAATTTCTTAACTTCATATGATACTTTACATTTTTTGCCCCTTTAAATTTAAATATTTCATAATAAATTAATACTTGTGGTCATTTTTATTTAATGGTACTAGTTGAGAAAGTTCCTCCACCATAATAATGATCTTTCTTATTTATAAGTTTGGGTTGTCTTTACCTAGGGTTGGTTATATAAAACTTTACACGGAAAGAGAAAAATGCATCAAAATAATATTTTGATGTGGTTATGTGTGTGACACATCATGTAAGATAGCATTGTTAGAATAATGAATGAGTTGATGAAATCAGTCAGACTTGCCTACTTAACTCACCGAGCTAATTTGTCAAACTGATCAGGCCAGTTTCCTAAGAACCTGACCGAGTCAATATTTGGTGATCTGTGTAACTGAATCAGTGAAACTCTACTGAGCCATTTTATCGACCTATTTGGATTTTAATGCCGACTAGTCCTCTCCTTGAATATATGAGAAATATTTTAATTAGTGTTCAATTTATGAATTTCTTTTTCTATTGAAACAATTTTTTTGTTAGGAAAAAAAAACTTCTTTTTGGTCCATGTCGGCATAAGTACAAAATAGACTTTATTAGCTAGTATTAATTTAATTCACTTTTTATTAAATGTCACTCTTTTGTTTATTTACAAAAATAACCTTTCTTTTTATTGGTCCTCGCAGGCTTGGAAAATCGTCGAAGGTAAATGATGGCCTGTAGGCACAATGTTCGGGTAAGGATGAATAAACTTAAAATTTAGGGATTAAAAGATCTATGTAATATAATTATTATTCCAAGTAAATAAATTAAGATTATGACTATTTATACAATTTTAATCATTATAAGCTTTCTAATTAATAAATTTAATTTAGGATAGGTTTGTACTATGCTAAATTAATTAATCATGCATTTTTATACAAATTTGATGTTTATAGAGTAATTTGGGTAAGATGAGTCGAACGTTCTCTTTAACCAAATCCAATTATCAACCAGATTAAGGATGGTTGATTAGGGCAGTGAGAATTAATTGACTTGTTAATACGAATATATAACTTAAGAGTAGTATCTTTGTTGAGAAATTAGGGCGAAGAAAAACAGGAATCGACACAAATCCAGAAGAACACATAGATTTACGATGTTCGGCATAGATAACTACATCATCGGGAGCAGAGCGGCGACTTCATTTTCAATATTCAGAAAAAAGTGCAGAATACAAGATTCAGCTCACTTATGGTTGCAGACATAACATATATATAACCCTATATAATTACTAATATTGGACATTTACATGCATATCACTCAATTCCTATGTATTTACATATCTAACATCTAACTTTACTTTTTACATTATTATCCTCCAAATCTTTCATATCATATAAAAATGGCACCATTTTAGTTTTTAAAAAGTGAAATATACATTTTAATGTATTAGAAAGATGGCTTGAATGCAAAAATTTAAGTATAGTTGCTTCAAAATAGATGAGAAATAAGTGGTATATATGTAAATCTCATATAAAACTATCTATTTGAAATGATATACTAATTAATCATCCATTAATAATCAGACATCAAGCTACAAAATATTATTTTTCTAAGAGTAGCCTTACCTTGGAGAAAATGTCATCATAAGTCGTTTTCTACTCTTATGTGGATCTAATCATCACCCTCAATAATGTCAAAAAAATAAAAATTTAGTAAAGATGATTGCCGGGCCAGAGGGGCTCTTCTGTAATTAAAAATGTTATTTAAGCTACGTGCCTTTTGTTTTATTAGATTATGTGTGCCATTTGTTATTTTGACCAGATATTAGTATGGTTGCATTTGGACAACATTTTGGTTCTCTTCTTGACCATATTAACCAAGAGATTCAACACCACACCATGGATACCCAAAACTCAAATAAATAGACTAATATGTAATTTCTGTTTATAGAGATGACCGTGGTTCAATGGTCGGCATCATCTGATCCTCGATGTCTAATTCTATCGATCCAAATGACTAGATCTCTTATCATGGCAAGAGAATGACCACAAATATGTTAATTTAATGATTAACAAATGATCTCTTATGTTTGTGAATATTCAAAAATTAATGAACAATGTATGATGTATAACTTCAACCTTTTAAATCATCTGATGCCACTCATATTTGAATCATGATTATTTTGACTGCGCTCTGATGATGAATATCTAGCATTCAACAATGTTTAATGTCTGTCAGGGGTTTAGGATAGACTTTTTGAATTGATTAATCTAATGAAAATAATGTCTCCTGACCCCTCAAAAACCTCAATTGATTGTCAACTTTGATTTCTTTGGACTCCAACCATAATAAAAAGACACTCTTATAGATCAACCCTATTTTTTTTTATTATTGTGAGAAAGGGGCACTTTTGAAGAGGGATTACAACTATGTGATAAACTAATTGATAATTAAATTAATCCTATTCTATCCAATTATATATTTGATGCCTTATGCCAACTAATCAATCAAACAAAAGACAATTAAGGCTATGATAGGACCTTATCCATACTTTTTATAATTTTGTCTTAAAAATGCAAGTCATTCACTTGTTTTATCGTTGGATTATTATGTAATCCGGGCATTTACATACACACCACTCAATTCTTATGTATTTATGTATCTAATATTTGCACTTTCATATTTACATACATATCCTTCAAATCTATAATCCCACGTCAAAATTATCACGATCACTGCGTTTTTAGAAGTGAAATACATATTTTCATGCACAAATTTATGACACTGTGTTATAAGTCTGAATATCAAAATTCGGGTGTACAATGCGTAAAAATAAAAGAATTATGTGATTTTTTTGTATATATATATATATATATATAATATATATATATATATATATATATATTAGACTCGATTCAAATCGTGTCATTTTCAGATACCCTTAGACTGAAATATTAATTTTATATTTTCTTAGTTAAGAAAAAAATATAACTTCAAATTAATAGTTTGTTATATTATCACTATCAAAAGAAATTACTAGATAAATTTATGATTTAATTAAAAAAAAATTATGAGTATTTGATCTTTAATTGAATGAAGTAAGCAATATGAATTGATCCATAATTAAATTTAATTTTTAATATAAGAATAATTTTTTATTAGATCTCTGCATTTTAATAGCTACCATTTTTTGTTGGAATGCATACGACACAATTCTTATGTATTCACATACCTAACCCTCAAAACTTTTATATTTACATTTTTAACACTCAACACTTTAATGTCACAATAAAAATATCATTATCATAAATTTCTTAAAAGTGAAATATATTTAGATATAAGTCTATGACATCAAAATGTTATAAATGAAAATATCAAATGTTACGTGTTAGATATGTAATTATAAAAATTGCGGGGTATGTATCGAAATTTCCTTTTCTTTTTTTTTTTTTAAAAAAACATACTTTTAAATAAATTTCTGTTCATCTAAATTCAAATAAATGAAATTTAAGGTTGTTGAACAGCTCCATTATTTCCCAATATTTCATGAAAATTATTTTCCTTAGTAATTATCCTTCTTACATAGACAAGGGAGATGCTCCTTCGTGTACGTTAAGCAGTGTGATTAAATTATAAACTAATGATTAAATTATAAATTAATGATAATTTACACTAAAAATGAAATTTAATTAATAATGCATGCTGATGTCTATATCTACAATTAACAATGAGTCTAGGCCACTATAATGGCGGCCGACATGCACGCATTAAAAGAAAATTACAAGTCATGCTGTTTATTAAACAAATTAAAAATAGGTCATCATGTATATTAATCGCATTACCTAATCCTTTTGACATTATCTTAAAATTATGCGGCATCTTCCAATTTAACATTTTGTTAATTCAGCAAGGAGCTAGTGCTGTTGTTTCTGTTTTTAATACTTTTGATTTATTATTTTAGGCCTTTTTTAAAAAAAAATTAATTTTATAGGGCAAATTTTACATATTTAACACCTGTTTTTTTATATTTACATACATAACATTCAAAGGTTTAGTTAAAAAAAAAATGCAAAATTGCACATAAAGATAAGTTCAAAATTGTTGGATTTGTTTGGAAATTAATGCAACAAGCCATACTGAATTCTTATAAAATTATTATGAGGATATCGTATTAATTATGAAAATAATAAGATTAAACTTTAGTTATAAATATCTAGAGTAAAATGTTCATCATAAATATAATTTTATTTTAAAAAAATAACAAATATTTATTTTGAAAAATCACATATCATGCTTAATTATGAAGTAAAATGTCAAAATAGTCCATGACTATTTACATAAGGTCATTTTAATCCTAGAGTTAACTTATGCAAGTGCTAAAATAGTCACTAGTGTTTAAATTCGGATATAGATGATTATTAGAGCTCAATTTTATAAATATTCTGGGACTGATTATACCCCACGTAAATTTGAGAACTATTTTGACACTTTAACTCTTAATATGTCTATCGTAAGAACTAGTATGTATTTAGTCGAATTGGTGTTTTTATTTTTTACCAAATTTGTTGGTGATTTGCCCAATATTAATATTATGACATGCTTTACACTCATTACTATAAGTGATTTAGGTATTTGGGAGAAAGATTACTAATTAATTATGTTTAGGTTTGCTTAATACTTGATGTTTGTAGCTTAACAACTAATTAACTTTACCAAGTAATTCTTCAATGGTTGGCCTGCGTAAACGCATGAGTTCAGCTGTTCAGAAAAACAGCCGGCGCTAGTTTTGCAAATAGTACAATTTTGAGTGATTTATATGTAATATTGCAAAAAAAATTATTTTTTTTCAGAATTATGAAAGGTAGAAGGTTATTATTGTAATAAATTATAGGGTATTGTAAGGGGCGTGGGCAGTTAGTATTATAGTTGCGTATTGGGTTTTTTTCCCTCACTCACTCTATAAATATATAACGGCTATGAAGGAGTCGAGAAGACAAAGCAAAAGGGCAGTTATGGACCGCCTTCTTCTCCTCCATTTCGCTTCTCTGTTTCTTCTCTTCTCAGCCTTCGCCATTCCTCTCGCAGGTATTTTTGCCCTTTTTTATTATAATTATTCTTTTATTATTATTTTTTATTTTAATTTATTGTTTAGAAATGAAGTTGATATAGTTAGGTGGAAAAACTATTTCATATGGTGTCTGATCTCGACCGTCGATTACCGCAAAGATGTATTTTAGTGAGCCTCACTTTCAGATTTTTTTTTTTTAAATTTGTTGTGGTGATCGACGGTAGAGATTGAATGGGGTGTCCATATGGGATAATTTCTCAGTTATGTGAGCAACGTGGGTTTCTACTTCTATTATATATGAAATAAAGTAATTATAAAGATACATGAGTAATTCAGAAAAAAAAATTATATATATATTTACATTAATTTTATATGTAAAAGTTTGCTTAAATCAATAGTTTATTTATATACCAATTGCAAAATAAATACAACAATTAATTAGTATTTTTCTGATAAAAAAATGAATAGGCGCCTGTTTTCTTTATTTTCTTCCTAGTTAGCTAACCGCCACCCACCACTCTTATCACCATCATCATCAATAAATAATTCATTTAATAAACATATTGATTAAAAATATATATTTTTTAAATAAATTTTAAGTTTTTATTAAATTATGTTAGTTCAAAATAGATTTGCTTATAACAAAACCTAACCAAAAGGACTAATTTTAAATTGTGAGAAAGTTTATGGTACTTAAATCTTCTGTTCTTTCAAAAACATGTAACTTAATCATAAAAATACCATTTTTTTATGAAATTAAACAGGATCTCAGGGCATAGGAGTGAACTATGGAATGAAAGGAGACAATCTCCCTTCCCCAACTCAAGTGATTTCTCTCTACAAATCTCGAAACATCTCAAAGCTCCGGCTTTTCGACCCAGACACCGCCGCCCTCGGCGCCCTCCAGAACTCCGGCATCGGAATCATCCTCGGAACCTATAATGAAGACCTCGAAAAGTTCGCTGGAGATCCCTCCGCCGCTTCCTCTTGGGTTCATTCCTACATCATCCCTTACACCTCCACCGTGGAGTTCCGGTTCATAGATGTTGGGAACGAGCTCATCCCCGGAGACACCGCCGCCTATGTCCTCCCTGCCATGCGCAACATCGCCGCCGCGCTGAGTTCCGCCGGCGTTCATATTCCGGTCACCACTGCTGTCTCAACGAAAGTGCTCGAAAACTCCTTCCCGCCGTCGCAGGGAGCCTTCTCCTACGAAGCATCACAGGTGATGTTTTGTTAGTTACTCCGACTATTTGGAATATTTACACGCATACCACACAATTTATATGTATTTACATAAACTTTCCTAAAAATAAGGTTTTATCATATATTATATTTATCATAAATTTAAAACTATGGGTTTAAGATTAATATAATTAATATTCTTATTTAGAGAAGTTAATTGCTGACTAATATACTAAAATATTTTGATGTTGATTTAAAATTTTTAATTATTTACAGAGAGGAGGAATATAATATATATGAAGAATTAATTAAAATTGCGTGGTAGGCGATAGTTAGCTATCAGTGGCTGTAGAAATCAAGTCATATTCATATTGATCTTCAAATCTTATTCAAATTGATCTGAGCAATTTATAAATATTATATGTTCAAGTGGAGGAGTATAATTTTGACATTTTGGTGTCTAAATTCACCCCCTCATAAAAGTAGTTGTACTCAATAGGAGTCCGTTTGGTGCAGTGGTGCGGCGGCGGTACTGCACCGTATTGTTCTTTAGGTAAATTGAGTTTTGATTGTTTTTTCAAAAAACTGCTGTTAAAATCAGTGTTTCTCACTGCTATAGGCTATGTGTGATGGGAGTTTTTCTAGCTACGATTTGACTATTTTAAAAAAAAAATAATATCAGATTATTCTTCAGTAATTTCACAGCTGACAGCTGCCCTAAACAAAGCGTGAGTGGTATTATTTGTTTTTCGGCATTTATGTTCGTATCATATAATTCTCATATATTTACATATCTAATAATTATATTTGCATATTTAGATGCATAGCACATAAAATCTTTAACATCACAAAAAATATTACTATTATTAAAATTTTCAATGAAATTTATGAACAATGTGAAAATATCAATAGGTACTGGGCCCGATCATCTCCTTCCTAGCATCAAATGGTTCCCCATTGTTAGTCAACGTGTACCCCTTCTTCGCTTATTCCGGGGACCCCAATGGAGTTGGCTTAGACTACTCTTTATTTACGGCCAACGACACAGTGGTTCAGGATGGCAGCCTGGGGTACTCAAATTTGTTTGATGCCATGGTCGACTCAGTCTACTCGGCTATAGAACGGCTCGATGGGACTGGGGTCGGAGTCGTCGTGTCGGAGACCGGATGGCCGTCGGCGGGCGGTGAAACCGGGGCCACAGTCGATAACGCGAGGATTTATAACAACAATTTGGTGAAGCATGTGAAGAAGAATGGGGGGACGCCAAAGTGGCCAGGGAAGCAGCTGGAGGTTTATATGTTTGCTATGTTTAATGAGAATCAGAAGCTTGCTGGAATTGAAAGAAACTTTGGGTTGTTTTATCCTGATATGACTGAGGTTTATCATGTGAATTTTTAGTCATTTAGTTTATGCAAAACAAAATGAAAAAATTGGTGCGGTTGCCGATTGGTGGCTGTAATTTATTTAATTTTCGTGTCTGCATTTGCAATATTTGAGAAGTTAATAAACTATATTATTGGTCATTTGTCTTTTGGAAATTTATTTTTTTTACATTTATGCCACATGGCTCCACATCCCGACTCCCAACAATATACCGCCATGTGTGTTATATCGGGCCACCTAAAAAAAAGTATTAAAGTGAAATCACCGACTCTGCAATAACCCCGAAATAATCCTAAATTAACACTGGAATAACCTCCACGGTGTTGTTTTGGGGTCATTGAAGTGAAATATATGAGTTTTATCTTCAATAACCCTGAAATAACCTCCGTGATGTTATTTCAGAGTTATTGAAGTGGGATGTATGAGTTTTTCTTCAATAACTCCAACATAAATCATAAATAACCCTGAAATAACGTCGGTGGTGTTATTTCGGGGTTTTTAAAATAGAACTAAGGAGGTTATTTTGGAGTTATTGAAGTAAAATATATGAGTTTCTCTTTAATAACCCAAAAATAATCTACGCGGTTCTACTTCAATGACCCTTAAATTAAATCCGAGATATATCACACCTAACGAAATATTATTAAAGTTTGTACGTAGAGCTACATAAGTGGAGTACATATATTTTTTACCCATAAAATCGGCTAAAAGCTGAAGAACGAACGAAAAGTATTCAACTAATACACTTAGCTTGTCATGAGACGGCGATGGCATGACTTCAAACTAATAGCCCTAAAGTACTTTATCTACCCAATTACTTTAAACTTTTTGATGCCTATTTAATATAATAGTGAAAAAATTGCTAATAACATAATAATAAATGATACTGAAATGAAGATTTGATGCAATTACATAGAGATCACCAGAAACTTTATATTTACAAATCTAGTGCCTCTTTCATCCATTTTCTAAATTCTCACGCAAATATCAAATTCATTGCTAAAACCCAAAGGCATATTATTAGTTTTTATCAAACTCTCAATAGTTTGATCTTGGCACGCATAAATACACTTGTTTGATTGTTCAAAAAGGAAAAAAAAATCTAATCTGTAAATATTAATATTTCAAATGATCTGTACATAATAATCCCAACTATTGTTCATCCCTTTTCATCCTGTATTACTTCTCATTAGCACTACATTGTTTTCCCAATTATGCAATAATTTTGATTGTACTGGAGCATAGGGCACAAATTGGCAATTAATGCCCGCACCCTTTCCTTCTGTGACCTCTTAGCATTACATAAATAAATACATTTTGGGGGATTTACATGCACAACACTCAAAACCTTCAATTATTACATATTTCACACCCAAACATTATAAATATAACATCATTTAACACTTTGTCAATGGGTTAACAAATCTTTTCACGGCCCTCATTCTGCCTCGGACAGTCTCAACGTTGCCACCATCGTCGGAGCTGGTTGCTTGCAAGAGCAACATGAGATTGTCGACTCTCTTGATGTATGGGTGAGAAGTGTAATTCACTTATATTTCTGAAGAATTGTCTGTTTACATAAACATGCCTTAATATTTTCATTTCAGAAAATATGCTTTAAATTGTCTGTTGGACTGCAAAATGCTTGATCGGAAACAAATGGCTCAGAGTGATCCACTTTAATCATATAATGTATTTCAAATGTTCGGGTGTCTCGATAACGTTACAAAGTTATTATATTACAAGCACGTAAGTTTAAGATTTTGGTTTGGTTGGAGTCATCTCATGGAGACATTCAAATCCATTGTAAATTTATTGAAATTCGAATTCAATGGATACAAAAATAATTTCAAAAGTTAGTAGCTCAATTTCAAAAATTATTTATCCTTGTCATTTGAAGGAGAAAAAATTTGCGTATGTAAGACGTACGTAAAACTGCGTACGTCGGAGGTTGTTCAGAGGGTATTGGGTGATTATAGGTAGGTTACACCCCCTGTAACATCTCTATAAGCTACTTATAACCCCCCAATACCCTCTGAATAACCTCGGACGTACGTAGTTCTTGTGTACATCTTGCGTACGCAAATTTTTCTTCATTTGAAGATGAGTCAATAAACTAAAATTTCATTAGCCACGTGATATTATGAGAAATTAATAGGTGAAATAATAATATTTGGAGGATTTTCCTTAGAAATTATTCGATTTTCAAAAATAAAACCTGGAGGACCGTAACTTGATAATAAAAAAAATTGTGATTTTAAAACTGAGAAAATCGAAATCAAAATTTCTAAGTGATCCAAATTATCTTAAACAGTTTGGACAGGATTTTCGATTTATTAAAATAATGCACACCCCTAAACATATTGGTGTCATAAATTTATGCACGAGGTGCTGTATTTAATTTTAAAATAAATAATAATTATGATATTTTTATTGTGAGCGTAGGGGTGTAAACTAGCCGAACAAGAGCAAACCCAGACTCAACTCGTGTTTCACTTGTTAAAAAATATCGCTATTCGTGATCGGCTCGTTTATATTTCGAACACAAAAAAAGTGTTTTCGTGTTCGACTCGTTTGCTTAGTCAGCCGAACATGAGATATTCACGAACAAATAGTCGTGTTAATAACCTTACTCACGCAACAGTAGGATCTAAAGGGTTGAAGCAAGATTTAAATATTATTATTTATATTAAAATATCATTTAAATATAATTAACATACTTTTATTCTATTTTTTTAAATAATAAATTTAATTGATTATAAATTTTTGAAGCTTTGTACTTAATTAAATATTTTAAAAACACTACACATCAATTATATATAATTGATGAGAAGTATTTCAAGCCAAAACGAGCCGAACAAGAATGAACAAATTTTGTTCGTGTTCATCTCATTTATATTGAGCGCAAAGATAATGCTCGTGTTCGACTTGTTAACTTAACGAATGAATTGAACACAAGCTTTTCACGAACAACGAGCCATTTTGACAGCTCACTTGGGAGTGACATGCATGTAAATATGAATCCTTAGGCAGTAGATTTGTAAATGCATAGAAATTGTATGGTGGCATGTAAATGCAACAAAAACAAAATTTCTCTTTTATTTCTCAGACCACCCGCGTCTCCCTTTCAGATTACCGCCGCTCAGAACCCTAGAAACCCTAGTCATGGCGGAACACGACCTAACCTCCCGCATTGCCCCTCAACTGGACCGCCATCTCGTCTTCCCGCTCCTCGAATTCCTTCAAGAACGGCAACTGTACGCCGATGACGAGATCCTCAAAGCGAAGATTGACCTTCTTAGCCAGACCAACATGGTCGACTACGCGATGGACATACACAAGAGCCTTTACCGCACAGAGGAAGTTCCGCAAGGTATCTTTCTTCTTTTTCTTTTGATCTTTAATATTCTACCCCGGCCAGTTTTAACCTTAGATTCGTGCTGGTAGAGATGCTGGACAGGAGGGCGGAAGTGGTCGGGAGATTGAAATCTTTGGAAGAGGCGGCTGCGCCGCTGATCTCGTTCCTTCAGAACGCTGCCAACGTCCAGGAGTTGAGACCGGAGAAATTGTACAATCTCCAGATGCTGAATGATCGTTTTCAGGTGCGTTTTTTCATTCATATTGTGAAAAGATTCAACTTTTTTATGTCGTTCAAATTGACTGTGTTGTGACGAGTGAGATTATTCAGTTCTTTTTTTTCCCCATATCTTATGAGCGAAGAAAATATCATTGTGGGAATAACATGTGTTTGGTTCTCTCTTATAAATTTAAGCTTTTTAGTTGAAAACATCTTTGACCATTAGTGTCCTAAATTTGGATCTAATTTGGTTTGCCCCATACTTGTTTATGGCGAATTGCATATAATAGCTCACAAGTTGTTTCGTGTGGCTTGAAAATATAATGAGTTGCATGTTATTGCAAAAATAAACCAAATAATTAAAGAAACATGAACAGTTTATTGATAATTCAAATTCAATTATGTAATAGATAAAATATATTGACATCAAAACAAGGTATTCAATATCATGAAGGTTAACAATAGAATATATTGACATCAAAACGAGACATTCAATATCATGAAGTTTAATAATACGTGATAACAATGGAAAATAACTATCATTACAGTAAAAACATGACTAGATTTTCTAATAAATGATTGTTGCGGTGCATAATAATAACGTAGAATGCTAAACTTCGAAGCACGGTTTTAAAACTTGATTTAACATAAATGCATAGTATAATAACTACTGTTCAATAATTTTGGGAAAATTTAACCAGAATTGGAATGAAATAAATATTAAACTGTTATTTTTTACATACTATTATCATCCCAATTTATTCATTATTCAAGTTTTGTTATCTTGCTCCCTTTGTTTACATTTGCTATAATGTTGTAACACGGTGGATCTACTTAAGCTTCTTCTTTGAAACTCCTTTGATTGTTACTTTCCTTTGCAATGTTGTTGCCTAATCCCTCTTAGGTCTATTGCACTTTAATGGCGAAAGAGGATCACCTCGTCAGTATCATTAACTGGCATAATATTATACTCATAAGGTCTATAAGTATCTACCAAATAATAGCTCTTTACGTGGTCCTCATTGTTAAGCTCACCCATTTTGAACATGAAGACAAGGCAATTATATTTACTCTATCTTTTGTAGCTTCATGATGTATAAGTTGTTTTGTACCCCTTGCATTGTGGTGATTTGGCAGTTTCATCATAAATTTATAGAAAAACACAATTCCAGGCTTCATATATATTTTTTTTTCAAGCACTTCTCCAATCCTTGGGCATATCTTATCATTTTGCTTCTGTTAGTTCACTCTTTTTCCTTGCATTTTTGTCATCACTGAAGTTCTGGTGCTTTCAAGCTTAGAGATAATATGCAACTTTTTGCTGCAAGGATCAATAAAACATTTACGCATGTTATTAAGTAATGTGTCACACTTATAATTAAAACCCTGATCACTCTTCAGGTTAGTTTTTCATTCAACCATTTATAAGCATTGACATATAATTGCCAACTCTTTCATGTTGTGGGTGAATATCTTGACTGCAGTACATCTAGTAGTTGTCCATAAGGCCTTTTTTGGTTTGACCCGTTGGAATATAGCGAACTTAAAATAGATTCTATATACACTTCAAGATCATCCAATGCATTCTACAGGTAGTTTATTTTCTGTCTCATCATCAACACAATTGTTCTTCTCATTTACCTCTATTTTCTCATCATTAACATTTTCTGTTTCAACAACTCATCTTAGTTAAAGTACCAAATAGCTGTGAAACATTTGAATTTTGAATCTATTCAGAGGCTACATCATATATTTAATCATCTTTTTTTGGTCTTATTTTATTATTATCTTCACATGTTCTCTCATAAATCTATGCATAGAAACAGTGTACTTACAACATAAAAAATACATGAAACAACAACAATATATGAAAACCTTCATTCTCGATATTATTTCTGCTGGCTAATTGCCTTCTATAATATCTTGCATTTTCCGAAAATAAAGCATAGGAAAAATTGGCTCTAAACCTTTTTCTTTGTCTAACAAAAAAATTTCGGCATGTGCGGTTGTTGCTTTCTTTTCATTGATTTGTCACTTTCTCCAAACTTCTTTGCAGTGACCGCCCTTTCTGTAGGAGACCAAATAGGATCAAATTTGATGGAGTCTATGGACTAAAATGGGGATAAATTATATTTTGGGATTAAATTGGCTACACGCAAATTTTCAAGGAAGTCATTTTAGGCTTTTTGACTTTTATGTTATATTACTCTGTGCCAAAGAGTCCCCTTTGTCTCATTGCCATTAGAATCCAAAAGATTTTAGATTTTACCTCTAATGTTAGCACACAAATCATTTCTTGCTTATCTTTTTAATTAATATCTATAGCCTATCTTCCTATGCATCCGTCTGAAACATGAACTACTTATTTTTCTTTCTAAATGGCCGTATTATTATAAAGTCGGACTTCCCATTTTTAATCAATGATTTGAAAAATCTGTTTGTACTTTTAATTAATGGTAAACGATGCAATTATTGCTTCGTTGACAACATCCACTGCCTTGTACGTAAAGGCATTTACTCTATATCTATCATATGTTGGAAATTCATGAAAGGGGCCCACTTTTTGCAGCGCATGCATAGCATTTTTGAAAGATTGTTACATAACACAATTAACATTTTTCACGCGGGGACTTTTTATTTTAATTTTTAATTTTTTTGAAGAAACATTTGGAAGATAAAGCAGTGACAGATTCCATTTTAGCATACTTTTTTAGTGATTTAGAATTGATGTTTTTTCTCTTCAAATCAAGCATTCTTGATCTAGAATAACTAAAGCAATGCATGATCATTACATTTTTGAATCATGTCCTTAGTTTATGAATGTTGACGATTCAAATTCGAAGGATGAACAACATAGAAAGTTGAATGCAAGTGTGGGTACTTACTCATCCCTCAATAACTCCCCCACAACATGATTACTAAATGTCCAATAATAAATAACCATGTTAACCATTCAAAAAATATATAAAAGCGGTACTTATTTGGTATGATGCGGTATAATGATTTAGCTACCAAAACATTCAACAACTCCAATAAAACAATGATGCCCAACCCCTTTGATATACTTGGTTGGCAATGTAAACATCTTTATGACAATTTATGGAGAAGAGCTAATATCAATTGATTCTATGTATGTGGTTCATCTTTACTAGTTAAACAAAAACTGGAGCAAACTTTTACCTTGCGATGTGTCCAACCATCAACTATAAGAGAACAATTATGTATGAAACAATACTATTTATGAGGTTGCTATAATTGTAACATGCGTTGGACCTCCTTTTTTACCAAACAGATTGGTCAAGAGCAAATTGAAGCTTTATATCAATATGCAAAATTCCAATTTGAGTGCGGAAACTACTCGGGCGCTGCAGACTACTTGTATCACTATCGAGCTCTCTGCACGAATAGTGACAGAAGTTTGAGTGCTCTTTGGGGCAAGCTCGCTGCGGAAATTTTGATGCAGAATTGGACCGTTGCTCTTGAGGAACTTAACCGTTTGAGAGAAATAATTGACTCAAAGGTTGGCTTCCTTTTCTTCTGGAAAATAAGATTAGATTTATTATTATTGTTATTATTTTAGAAAAGCAAGATTAGATTGAAACTCTTAGTTTTACTTTAAGTCCCTAATGGTATCTCTTCTTATGCTGCAGAATTTTGCATCTCCTCTTTATCAGCTGCAGAATAGAATATGGTTGATGCATTGGAGCCTTTTTATCTTCTTCAACCATGAAAATGGAAGAAATGGAATTATTGACCTCTTTTTCCAGGATAGGTGCGTATGAGTTTAAAATTGCATGTTTTTGATATATTGAAATTGATGCGGTTTAACAAAATGATTTCTTTCTTGATAAGAGATTTGATTAGCATAGCTTCAGTTTCAACTAAATGCCAAAATGGAATCAAATGTTTATGTCTTCTGGACGATGATTATGATTCTTTTATTCTAATTTGGTCCAATACATATTTCTTTGTTTAAAATGTTAGTTTTTTTTGTTTTGTTTTTGCTTTTGTCGAAGATGCTATACCGTGATGGCCCGATTGATTATTTGGTGGTTAAAAACAAAATTTATTTCCCAGTTAATATGTTTCAGGCGGATTTGGGTGTAGGATACAAATTTAAATGTTGAATGGTCTATTTTTTTGGATCATTTATGGGGTTGTAAGGTTGGCAGGTATCTACAACTATGTAAAGCCTTAACCTCTCAATAAATCCTGGATTTTTTCTTGAACTCGTAGATGTCTAGTAACTCATACAGCATGCATTAAAAATTTTCCAATGATAGAATAAAATGCTCTTACATGTTGCATACAGCTTATGAAAGGTGGATGTCATTTTGATGAAAATCTAGTTTGATATGAAAGCTATTAATAAATGTTTTTGAAGTTATTTATATTTGATTTAACAACATAAAAAACGTTCATGATTGATCTTGGTTCTTAAAATTGAAGTTAAATGTTCTTTCGATGTTCAACATTAGCAAAACCAGAAATGACAGTGGCATTTTGAGAAATTTTCTAGCATTATTTGGAATATTGAAGCTGCTTGATCTATTGCTATGTTAATTAACTCGTTCCAAGTGTCCAAGTAGACTTTATTTTCGAAGGTCAGAAGATTGTACAAATGAGCTATTTAGCTCGAAGCATTATGCTTTTAAAATGTTACGGACTATAATAAGAAGGCGGCCATTGATATTGGCGCGCATATTGCCTACTTACAAATTTACAGTCTAAACTTTGTTGGCACATTTTTTTTTGAGTGCTATATGCTTGTTATGTCCTTTGGTTTGTATTAGTTAGTATGAAAATCAGTTCCGCTAGTAGTGCTATACCTCATAAGACAACAAAGATTTTACTAAATACTAGGAAAAAATATTGTTTTAGAGAATATCCATAAGGTTTGGGAGAAAGGTAGCCCGAGATTAATCAAGTCTGTGTGTGATCAAAATTTAAAAAAATCTTCAATGGAGATGCATTTTGTGTTAATTCATTCTAATTTACACATCATTAAAAAACAACAACCAAGTGCGATCTTAACACGAGCGTTTTTACTAAAAGTTTCTAAAATAAATTACAACATTATTTAGTGTTCATTCGCTGCATGCTTTTAGCGAAAAAGTGTCTTGATGTGATGGATCTAATTGAGCTCAAAATTGTCCTTCACAAAAAAAAAAAAGGAAAAAAAAAAGAAAGGTTTGGGGAAAGGTTTGGGTGGTGGTGTTGATGGTCGTGGTGCCGTTGAAATTCTACTGCCCAATCACTATTGCTAGAACAATCATCACACACTACCGACAACTTGAACCTAAAAGTGCCTTAATCCCTTACAACCCCTCTAATGATTTCCACCTCTTTCAAAGGTGATCAAGTCAACAATTAATAGTCTTATAATCCTACCTTATCTAATTTAAGGGAATGACATTTATCTACTAGAATAATTTCAATTGGGTGAGACCCCACAAATTTTTTGGTTTTTTTTTTTTTTTGAAAAAGCTCTTTTGTATCAATTGTGAATATCTTTTATGTGTGCTTGTGTCGAATATTAATATGAGAATTTTATAGTCTACTGCAAAAAATTTTCTATATGCAACAAGTTGGACTTGTGGGGACAATCATATAATTGCAAGTTCTATAAACAAATTCTTGGTGGCCAACGTGCATATTACAAAGACATGAACACCTATAATAGCGCCTTTATCCAAAACCTATCATTCAAGGGACCAATCTTTAAATCAAGGACGTTTGGCTCTTTTTTCTTTTCGGACAAGTATAACATTATTGACGAGTTACATTTTGCCTGCCTATAAAAGATCATAGAAGTCTCATAATGAGATTCTTTAGCTTCTACTATAGGCTTGATTGTTCTAAAGCGATGTGAATTGATTCGCCTCCCTCAAGTTCAATTGCTAGTCGGGTTATTTACCTCAATAGCACTCGTATGTGGCCCTCTTGCCATCATGATGGAGAGTGACCACTAACTCCTAACATCAATCTCCTTGACATTGCCAGTTATAACCATCAATTATTTACAATTTACTAAGTATGTAATCCTCTGATTATAATTAGGAACTTTGCTAAATCTTACCCCTATGACACCCATAATAATATCCTACATGAAACCATGATGTGTGGTCTGAGAGAAATTTTCTTTGTGGGATAGGAGGAAACTTCCCATCCATTAGCTATTCAAAACTCCATTCCAATGCAATTCAAGTTTTCGAGCATATTCTTTTATGGTGGGGTGTTTGTTCCCTATGTGCATATCAATCCTTGTGAAATTATTATATACATTCAACAAGTAACTCTCTTATATCAGATCTTTTTTGCCAACAACAATGGTTGGGCTCACCTACTCTCCTGTAAAAGAAATTATCCACACCTTCACTGAACTTGTTGGGCTCTTTATCAAACAACTTATTGCAAATCTATTGATTCTCAAGCATTCTGCCCACACTTAGGGAATTCAATTGAGTGAGGGAGAATTACTCAAAGAATACTACCAGAGATTCGCCTCATTGGCTTGCTAAACTCCATGAGATATTCTAAACTATAAAATGTGGTCTTTTGAATTCATTCAAAACAACTAGCCCTTACATGAAGCCAAATAGTTGGTAAAATTGAAACAATTATCAAAGGTCCAATATTATCCAATTAAGTTTCAATTGCCACCTCACAAATGTCAGTCTTGTTTAAATCTCTTGTCAACTAATTCCAACACTTTGATGCCTTTGACTAGGAGAGGCTTTCAATCTCTCATTAAAATCCACTTGTTATCAATGCGGGAATTGGTGGTTTATATTATATTGTTAAAAAAGTTATGATCGATAGTATGAGCTTTGTCGATACTCATTCTACTTTGCATTTCTCAGCCTTGATTCGATTAGTTTTTGGACTATTATTTAAGTTTAATAATTGACTACTTAATTTATAAGGAACAATCACTTTCCCTATTACAATTAGGGTATTCCTCAACATGCAACCTACTTGATCATTGCTTATTTTCAGAATTGGAATTAGTGTTGTATGAAAGAAGCAACAGATAACATAATAATATTTTTTTTAACAAACTCAACCTCGCCCATCATTGATCCTTAGTATTGAAAACTTTGATGTCCCATATAAAGACATACCCTTGAGGGCCTCTTATGTAGAAGACTTGATTAATCTTTTGTGGACAATAAAATTATTTCTTTTCTCTCTGATAAGCATATGTTAGATTATATGGACATGTAACGACCATTACATCTTTACTTGAAGTTCGACATATATGCCCAGAGTTGATGCTAAAATTATTATGCATTCTCTCAAAATCGACATAATATTTAAGCTAGTCACTCCATAAGAAGCAAAATTTTGCACTAGATCAACTACAAGTGATTGAGCTAGAAGTCTATGAATTTTTAGAGGCTGGATTTATATAAGAGGTATACTATGCTATTTGGTTAACGAATATCTACTTGGTTAACAAGGCCAATAGAGCTTGGAGAATGTGCCTTTATTGCAAATATCTCAACTTGCTTGAAAGACAATTATTCTCGCCCTTATATAGATCAACTTGTCTATTCCACATATGCCAATTTTATTAGTTTTATAGACTCATTATTGTAGCTATAATTAATTAAAAATGAATCTTGTAGGCAAAGATGCTACTGATTTTGAAATGGATAAAGGATTACATCGCTACTAAGTTTTGCCTTTCAAGGTGAAGAATACTAATATTATATTCATCATCTAATGACTAACAACTTTAAAGATCTCAAAGGGCACTCCTTGGAATTATATGTTGATAACATGCTAGTTAAACATTTAGAAAGGTTATAAACATTTCAAGAGAAGATAAGAGAGCTCGTGATTCTGTTGGTCCATGATGAAATATGTTGCATTGGATTTTTGCAAAGTACAACAATTGTCAGTTTCATTTAAACCTGGCCTATATACATCATTATTTGAAATTTTGTTTCTCCAAGCTCTCGTTTTTCGCTTGATAGAATATTGATATCTTGTTACATCTTTCTGGCAACTTAAATAGTAAAAAATTACCATTTTGGTTGTCGACTACTTCAAATAGGTAGAGGTCAAAACACTTGGTAAAATCATGTAAACAAACTTTCAATAACTTATTTAGAAGAACATAATTTGTCGCTTTATTTTTACTATAAAACTATCGCTGATATGAGATTCAATTAATCAAAAAGATTTTCACATCTTTTTATAAGGATTTCTATATTCAACTACTTCATATGGTTGTAGTGCATGTGCATCCTCGAGCAAATGGGCAGTTCGGGGTTACCAATGGAACCATTCTTAAAGGATTCAAAATGCACATTGTAAAGGTCATGGGACAATTGGTTGAAGGGCTCTCAATTGTTTTTTGAACCTCTTGCACTACTTAATGAACTCTAATAGGTGGAAAACCCTACAACCTATTCTTTGGCACAGAGGTTATCATCTTGGTCGATGTTGGTATCCTAATTCCTATCGTTCCGATTTTTGACCTTAGTAACAATGAAGACCCATTTCAATACAGCTTGGACCTTCTTTCATAGACAAGTTGTGTGGCTCTACAAAATATTGCCTCTTATCACTAAAGGGCAGCCCTCCACTTTAATCAAAAGATGAAGCCCCTATCTATTTCGAGACTTAGTTCTACGCCGTCTTGAGGTTGCCGGAAAGTGACCCCACCGCAACAAACTTTCATCCTTTTGCGAGAGCCCTTACGTGTTTCTAGTTATAGTCAAGTAATGATCATTCAAGCTTAATTCCTTAAGGGAAAGACGCTACCTCAAACTTAGAATATAGGAAATTATCGTTATTATTATCTCTTTGCACACAACCCCTATATCTTTCATTAATGGAAGATTTTTTTTTATCTTGTATTATGGAGTACTTTGGCCCAGCACCGGCGAGGGTTGCAGTTAGGGAACTCGTTCCCTAATAACTTGTGATGATTCTATCACCTTTAATTTTCACGGAGGGAGTCAGCCTTTGAATTTACACATCCCAAACGTCAATTATGTACAGCTGCTAGCAACAAATGAGTGAGCTATGTCTACCCCCTTTTCTTTTTATAGATTTTTAATCCCTACTAATGTCTTATATATATGCATATTCATTATAGGTGATTCGAAAGATGAAGCTTGTGGCCTAATGGGCGCTGCTTAGCCAAATGGAACATTATGTTCATGAAGATTAAGTACTTTATGGGTTAGTATGAAGTCAAGGCTAAAAAAACAATGTCACTAAATGACCAGTTAGGAAGGTGCTGAGCTGAACTAGAAACTATGTCCACTACTACTCTCTCTCCCTATTCATAATGTTGGGAAATTGATCACATTCGTGTGAGTTGGTAGAGGTTTGAGCAGAAATCCCCAAGAGAGTAATTGACTCTAAGGCACCTGTAGCGATGAAGAAGGTTCTTAAAATGGTGAATAAAAAAGTGTAAGATCCCTCATGAAAAGAGGCTGTAATAAATGCCATAAGTTAAAGCATGAACGATATTTTTTAAGGCTGTGAAAAACCTTAAGAACTCTTTGGTTTCTTCTAATGTGATCTATTGGATTATATCCCATAAGCTTATGATAAAGCATTTGAAGTTGAGGTGAATGGCCCGAAGCATCTATGTCTTGAAGAAGGTTTGGCCAAGGCTTCTTAAATAGGATTTGTTTGGTGAAATGCAAGATTGGGACTAACATAGAGAGATTATCTACCCATTAAACATCCGAGGAATCCTTCCAAGATTTGGAGGATGATGTTAAAAGCAAGTTGAAGGAAGTGGGCTCTAGAGTTGAGGAGTATGTTGATATCATGTAAACAATATATTATGCAAAAGCAATCTCACCTTATGTTTTCTTTATACCTTGAACTTTTGTTTATTTTTGATATTTATGTCTGTATAGAGCTTTTATTGGTTTTTGCTCATGTCGTTGCAAGTGAGGCTGCGTAGACCCTTAGATAATTATCTCATTGGACATCAATCTGGGGGTATTTGGTGTGGTAGATTGTAGTCCTTCTACCTTAAGTAATTATGAATTGTGCTACCATGTTTGTAAATTTCATAGTTTAACCAAGCTACTCAAAGAGATACCTTAAAGGTTTTGGACTATGTGGATGATAGTCATAAGAAAATCCCTTAGAAAAGCCTGTTTGAGGTTATTTGTCCGGAGAGGATGAGAGAAATCCATCTAGGAACAATGATCAATTCTAGATAGTTTGTAGAATATTGTTCGATGTCTTTGATTTATTGCAGAAGGGATCAGGTCAAAACTTCCTTGATCATACCTTGATTGAGATGCAACAAAGGTTATGCGTTTCTTAAATCAAAGGTGCATGTTGGCATTTTCTTATTTCTTTTATGAAGTCCTATGTGTGATCATGCCTACGAAAGAGAAAATTTATATGTAAAAATTCGAGGAAATGAAACTATACTTATTTTTTTCCAATATAGAATCAATGTAATAGCCTAATAGAAGCTCACTGAGTAAACCATAGAGAATGATACCGATACTACAGAGAATTACTAACTAAACTAATGCTAACATCGTATTGAACAAGGGGAGAGAACATAACCCTTTCTCAAGAATGACCCTTGCATACATGCTATCAAAAAAGCAATCATCTACTACGGAATATTACGACACAGCTAAAGTAAATTTAATATTTAGATTTTCAATCTACTTATCTTACCACATCTTTTCAACCAACTTAAAACTTTGAGGCTTACATCAAATCCATCTAACTTGTGAAAATGAAAATGAACTTCATTAATCATGAGGGTTTTACCCCAAATTTTGCATCAAAACTGATATAAATCCTGAGGTCTTTATCCCTGTTTAGTCTGCCAATGAAGCCTTCTAAATGAAGGGGTCATCAATTTCCTAATATGAGTATAATTGTGTGTCAGGATTTATGTTCGTACGCTAGATGATATTTGCATTGATTCTGCTCATACTTATAGACATTTTTTCTATTTTTTGGTCCTTTCTCTCCAATTTTTTCCCATAATGTTTGTCATATTATCAGTGTTAATGCTATGCAATTCTGACAATTTTCTTTTGTAACTCAAACCTCTACTTTTAATTTTTAATCATAAACCTTTTTGTTTACTATGTTTTTTTAATTTTCAGGTACTTGAATGCTATTCAGACAAATGCAAACCATCTCCTACGTTATGTTGCGACTGCTGTCATTGTTAGCAAAAGAAGATGGAATATGATTAAAGAGCTTATCAAAGTTATTCAACAGGAAAACCATGTGTACAAAGATCCAATTACAGAATTCCTCGAGTGCTTATATATAAATTACGACTTTGAGGGTGCACAAATAAAGCTTCAGGAGTGCGAGCATGTAGTTTTTTTTAAAGCCATTTTAATTTTGCGGCATTTAGATATATACCACCCAATTCTTATTCATTTACATATTTCCAACACCTGAACTTTGCTTGTTACATTTATATCACCCAAAATTTTCATATCACATAAAAAATATCATTATCTTATTTTTTTTAAAATGAATTGCACATTTTCATGCATAACTAGGTGGCATATAAATAAAAATTGAAGTTTAGGTGCTAGGTAAATACACATGAATAAAGGTGTTAGATAGGTAAATTTATATCTTTAATTTTTTGCATTTGGCTTGTTTTTTTTGGCATGATGACGTGCAATATATCCACAAAGCGTTATACATTTTAAATAAACATAACTATGTGTTGGTTCCTCATGATCTAAAATGTCTGATCGTTAGGTGATTCTTAATGATCCCTTTCTTGGTAAGCGAGTGGAAGATGCTAACTTTTCAACTGTACCATTAAAGGATGAATTCCTCGAAAATGCTCGGCTTTTCATCTTCGAAACTTACTGCCGCATTCATAGATGCATTGATATTGGGTAAGCTTATTTTCAGTTACAATATATATATATATAAAGGTCCAATATTA